AGGACAACAACCACCCACTGCTGAACCTCCAGAAACAAAAAGTTCACATTGCCATCCCACACTGCTGAACCTCCAGAAACAAAAAGTTCACATTGCCATCACACTGCTGAACCTCCAGAAACAAAAAGTTCACATTGCCATCACACTGTCTCACAAAATGCAGGACTGTCCTTCCAAAATAATAGCAAAATATACATTGCATGAAGCAAACACACTGCCCTCAAACCACATTAGATTTTCCCTCTGACTTTGACCCGCCCCCCCCCCCTTTTTTTTTCAGCTTCCCTTTTTTCATAAATGCATTTTGATTTTTAATTTGTCACTCTGTAAACCCTTCTCCCCCCCAAACAATAACTATGCAATAACTATTTTTCATAAATGATGAATCAGCCTTCGCCTTAAGATTGTAAAGATTGTAGATGTTTCACGCTCTCATTCACCCAATTAGATCATTTCTTCAGGGACAGGCAACTTTGAACGTGCCCATCTAGGCCAAAAAGGGCTGAGAGGGGAACATCATTCCATCATACAAGCTAATACACTCAATAAAATAACTTCCCCACTCGGGAATTGAACTAATATCTTCTGAGTGAAAACAGCAAAGAACCTATCCATTACAGCATAGACTTCAACTTACAAAACAAATGCAGTTCAAATATTAGGGAAAGAAACTCGTCCCGTACACACAAAATTTACATTGTCTGTACAAGTCACAAAAAATCCTGAGGGTGTGTACATTTTATCATTACTGGATACATAGACACTGTTTGACTCATAAATTAGACACACCTGCATAATTTCATGACAATAGCACCATCGGGTATGTCTGTATCAGTGTGTGTGTGTGGTTGGACTTGTGTCTTATATACGTACATATTGCATTTTGCACACTTCTCCAATATCAAATGAACATCATGAATGTCAACAGCAACTACAACAACATCTGCGATAACAAGGATCTCCACTCTGCCATCTACAACTACGGGGGGTTTTTTTTAAGGTCAAAAGAGAATTCCTTCATTGTTCATTACAGTTACACATAATATATAGTCGAACCTGCTCTAATGACGTGTCCAAGCCAGTTATTAGTACAAACAACTATTTCTCACTTCCCCCCTTGCATTCTATCTGTATTCCACTCTTAACTGTCCAAGAGGACCACATGTCTACAACAACCACTTTTCTCCTCGACAACGGGTGGCCATCTTAGACAGGTTCGATTGTACTCACACACATAATATTATGCTGCTTCCTGGAATTCTGGGACCCCAAATATAAATGTATAATCACATACTGTTTCAAAAGGAGAAACACAGTCACTAAACGAATCTGCTGCATCTTCACACAAACTTTAGTCATGTTCCAAAGTTTGATTCTGTGAAGTGTGATTTCAACTACATAAGTCACTTTGTCATTCAGGAAACTTTGTTCGAGATATTCACATCTCCTGCAAATTGAGCCCACACCGCTCAAAACAAACTTTTTCTCAACTCATCACTTGGGAGACTTTAAAAATGAGAAAGCCTTTGCGCGAGTCCTTGACTCTATTGACACAAAATAAGACATTGATGGAAATCAGTCTTTGTAGGGTAGAATAGCAACTATCAGTCTGGCAATTTTCTAACTTTTATAAGACATTTCCTTACTCGTTTTTCTCATGAGTTCTGGACATTTTCAGGACAGAATCTTTGTAAATGTTTAAGATCTATATGACAACAGAACTGTTTCAAAGGGTGTGACTTTAAATTCCAATAAACAAACTGAAAAATCAAGTGCTTTCCATCAGGTATAAAAGCAAAAGGCTTAATTCTAACAATAATTACTTGGAGTCTATTTTACAATAGAGTCAATAAATATTCATCACTCTACTTCAAGTCAACTTCCATGAGACTTTTCACATTTCATAACATTTGGGTTGTCATGTTGAGACGACGGGTCACACATGATAAATCTAACAGGCAACAAAAAAATTAATAAAACATTTTTTTTTTTAAACATAGTGAAACAGTGCAAAGTAATATTTCAGAAATCAGTAACAAAAACTGATCCTCTTTTCAGCAATGAACAAGTATCACATTCAGATGACTTCTATGTGGTTTTAATGAGTTAGTCGAGCTCTGGTTCTTATAAGACTATTAACATCACTGCATTTGAGTAAACAGAACAATACGGATATGATAATGGTCATACAGTGCAGGAAAAAAAAAAGTAAAACAAACAGAAACAAGAGAGGGAAAGAAAAAAGTAGGAAATACTTGTGGCCCATCTAAATGATAATGGTCATTTACAGCAGGGGAAAAAAAGTAAGACATATAAGAGGGAAAGTAAGGAAATAGGATCTACAAGTAGTGTGTCCTCCAACCACCCGCTAGATATCTCTGAGTTTCTAAACTGACAGACTCAGTTATCCACAAATAAAGGATTTTTTTGAACGGGGCCTGGGTTTGAAAAGGGATTTTTTTTCATTCACTTAATTTTGCTGATTTCCCCGGCCTACCGCCCCAGTATACGTAAATATATAAATGACAGATATGAAGATTGTGTAGCACACCAAATAAATTAAATAACGAAATAACAAAGTAAATATCAAATCAAGCCTTGGGACAAACAATAATTCTCTATTTATACTAAATTAAATTAAATAATACTGGAAATATAAACAATGACAGTGATAGTCAATACATACAGGTTTCAACACGCATGCCACACACATACACACAGTGTCTCCATACACATTAGCCATTCTCAAAAGCATAGCATAAAAAGTGTTGAAAGAGCCAAGGTTTTGGAACCATTTATTTCTCCTGTTTTCTCCCTTTAAAACAGTCAAACCATACTGAGGTTTTTTAACACAGAAAGTTGATATATCTATTTATAGACTCTATTGCAGAGAGGGGCCTGTTTGCGTTTTCTTGAAATGCGGCCTAAATGAGCTTGAAGTATGCTTGTACATAGCTCCATTAAAACAAAGTACGTGTACAGGTTTTTATGCTTGTAATCAACACAAGGATCTTCTACATGACACATTGCAAAAGTGTCACATGATGGCATGAGGGCAAACAAATTAATGTGTGCATGTCTATCAAGTTTGATCAACTCGATTCAATAGAAGCATTGTTGTTACTATCATTACAGCAATGACAAATTTTACTATTTCGAAAGAAAAATTTTATCCTCAGCGATGTATTGGTCATTGTCAGACACTGACGGACAAGCTATTATTATTACTATTTACAACTAGAATGCTTTTCAGTATGTACTTGTACATTCCTGCATAAACCTTACAGATCCGAGGACAAAGGGTGGTGTAAATCTAGCAGTTAGACCTAAGGTAGCTCAGTCCGATGGATAATTTAGGTTGATGGGACAAGGCCTCAATGCAAGATCTGAGTATCCTTTGAGTGTCTATTTGGTTTGGTATTCTTGAACGATCCTTGTTAAAGACATTTACTTTACAGAGAAGCAAAAATCGCCTCAATGGACACAGCATTTTCCACAATCATTGCCATTTAAGTCGAGGACTTTGATTAATTTCCTTCTTAAAAACATTTACAGTCAATTTACAGTCTAGCATGCATAGCGAAATCCACGGGATAAGGTAATCTTTTCATTATGGACGAATTTCGCTATGTCTGTATATGTTTTAAATACAAAGAATATACATCATGTATGAAAAAAAAAATTTGGGACCTGAAAATCTGATCACTATGACAATGGTTGTTTTCACTGGGTGTGTGCTAGACTGCTTCATTTCATAATTACAAAATAAACCTGATTTTACACATATTCTTCAGTAGTATTGTTCGTCTAGTTTAGCAATACAAACAAAATGTAGTAAGAGTTTGATTTACTTTACTAGAGCAAATAAATATAAAAAATTGAACTTTGACATGTTCATTCCATATCTTAGGAACCAGGCATTTTTTTACAAATATCTTGTCTTATATTTTAACTACAGTTAGGCATGGATTACTTAAACACGTTGGGGATTGCAAAATGTGTTTGACATTTCCATAATTTGGGTTAACTGATAACGAAAAATGAAAGAGATATCAGTCAGGGAATGGCAAATTGTACGAGCTATCCATGATTTCGAATTTTCTGTGTTCGTGTTATCTGTGCCGACCAACAATACTCAAACATAACAGTTTATCACTCAGAGATCAAATAAATGACATCAAAAAGGCTGCAAGGACTCTCATCTTTCTTGTTTGTGTGAGGGGGGAGGGGGAGAAGAGGGGAGGAGAGAGAGAGAGAGACAGAGAGAGAGAGAGAGAGAGAGAGAGAGAGAGACAGACAGACAGAGAGAAAGAGGGAGAGAGAGAGAGGCAGAGAGAGACAGAGAGAGAGAGAGAGAGAGAGAGAGAGAGAGAGAGAGAAGGAAGGAGGGAGGGAGAGAGAGAGAGGGGGGGGGGAAACAGACAGGCAGGCAGACAGATAGACAGACATTCTGACAGCTGACAGATCCTGTATATTTTTTTGTTTGTTTACTACTTTTCTAAGATTAGAGAACCAAGCCCAAGAAAAGATCTATTTCAATTCAGTCATTAGAATAAATTAAACAATGACGAAAACAAATAAAAAATAACCTCATCATATTTACATACGATTAATCTTCAAACTATCCTCCTCTCAAAGTCAATTATACAAAAAGCTCCTTTAACGTTAATATTCAGTAGGAATGCACGAAAACAATAGTCGGGGAACTTGCAACTAATTTACAAAGTACGTTCATCAACAACCCCCTCCCCCCCATAACCAAAAAAACCCCAACAAAAAACAAATAACAAAACAAAAACCAAAATTAATCACACATGAAATAAAACAAAATGATGATGAAATAAAAATTACACTCTGCTTCAATACATTCTCCATATGTCAGATAAGAAAAGAAATGTAGGCTATCTCATCTATTTTTTAACTTTTCAGACGACTGGCATAGAACAGACACATAAGACCAAATACAACGTAACTTTAACTACAGCTGCATTTTTTTAAAAAAAGTATGGAAAGGTGGATTAAAGTGAGGGTGGCAAAAAATTTTCAATTAGTTTGATATTTTGCTCATCTATTAAAACTCCTGTTTAGATTCACTACAGGTGTGCTATTCGACACAGCACTGGTCTTTTATAGAGAGGGGAAAAAAAACAACAAGACGGGCATTCTGAAAGAGCAGAAGGAGAGTTTCTATTTGTAAATGCTTTACACCCTTCCTATCAACACAATTTAACTTATTTAGAAGGTGAGCCACTTCCACCTCGCCTGTCGCGGCCAAACTGGGCGGAAAGGGAAGCAGTGTGGCAGCAAGTAGAAGGAGATACTTGATAAAATCTCTCATCATCTGGGAATCAAACTCTTGTCTTCCGCGTGTGACAGAAAAGTGCGTAGCCACTACACCACAGATTCTAGCACTGAGGGAGTGAACAAGTGTAGGACCTACCAGTAAGTGAGAAACAAATTAGAATAATAATGCAGATAATTCAGGGCTGTAGCTGCTTCAATTCTGCCTGTCGTGGCCAACCAGGGCTGAGTGAGACACAGTATATCAGTAGATAAGACAAAGATACCAGATAAAACCAATTCCACTTATGAGAATAGGACTCACATCTCCTGTGAGCCATGAACAAAATCCTTTGTTACCCAGCTGTGATGTTAAATAGTTTGATATATTTGTGCACAATTTAACTAAAAAAAAAAGATTAGTACAGTTCCTCAATTGCTATAATAACTGTAACAACAAAAACAAATTATCATAACTATAACTTACAGTTCTGAGAACTCTTTTCTCAAATGCCACTCACTCGACTCCCCCATTTCACAATCTTCACCATCACTCCCATCCTCACTGACACTGCATGGAAAAAGCCCATCAACCAGAGACATTTTTCCAGAGGCCCAGAGATCAGTTCAGGAATATTATGACTCAAAGAAGTGTGTGCGTCGGCGTTGCAATTTAGTATGGCTTTGCTATAATTTGACGGCCACAAATAACAGAAAAAAATATCATATGCTCCACTGATACAATTTAGATTATTAAAGAAAAGATGTGGGGTTTTTAACCTGCCTCAAAGGGCCTACACAAGAGTCTTGCAGAAAGAGCAAATTGCTCAATAAAATATATTTTCCCAAGAAGCAAATCAAACTCACACTTTTAACATGTTGTGGCAAAGGACCTAACCGCTATACCGCAAACGCTCATAGAATCACAAAATCCTTGCTGAACCCTAACTCTTCTTGTGATATGCTCTATCAGCATGTGACAAAGTCACATGACATGAGAAAAGGCAGTGATATGTCAGTGCATGGCACACAGAGTTAAGAACTATCAAAACACAGCACTCCATGCAAGATAAGACCAATTTAGATCATGTAACGAGTGGGCTTCCACCCTGCACGTCAGGACCAACACGGGCTGAAAGGGTTACTAAGTCCCAGCAGAAAGACCGAGACACTTAATGAAAATTTTCCCCATTCAGAAATCCAACTTCGGTCTCCTGCATGCCACGGAAAAGCACCTAATTACTGCACGAGATGCTAGTGGACCAAGTATACCTGAGATAGAGTAACTGAAAACACAGGAATGGAACACAAGAGAAAAAAAAGTAATGTTAGATCATTCAAGATGAACATCCTGGTCTCACACTGAGCAAAAGAAAAAGGATTAAAAGACCTTAACTGTCTCTTTGTTAGAGAAAAGAGAAGAAAATCAACACAAACACTGCCATTTAGTAAATATGGAAAAGGCAACACAGCCTGACAAAAATAAAAAGGGGAAAGAAAAGAAGCATGACCTACCACTGGTGCTCTTCAACCATCTGCTTGAACATTATACATTTCAGCAAAATGCTGGGAGCAAAAGACACACAGTCAAGCCGGTAAAGGGGAAAACAAGGATGTAAATATACAATCAGAGAGCAAATAAAATCATTCAAATTCAGTGCCAGCTATGGGAAATTTTTCCATAACATTAAGTATCTATCCATCTACTTTCATTCCCGCAGACACTTGAAAAATGTCCCATGGCTTCCAATGTGGACTTATTCAACGTATAACCCTTATCATTATAGATGTAAGTGCCCACAAACCATTAGTCTCTATGTAATTAGTTAGCAATAGGCAGAGTTTTGAGGTGTCTGTCTGGACACTCTATTTGTGCCATTGTCCTGTCACCGGCAAAGACTCCCACTCTCCAAACATTTCCAGAAAAAGAGAAAATTGTTTTATTTTCAACATAGTCGCATAACACTTTCATTGCAACCAAAAAAAACCAAACTTTTTTCAATCAATTGCTCGAAAGAAAAAAAAAAATAGTTAAAAAATGTTCAAATAAAACAAAAAAAAGCTCACCAAACATTTTTTTCCAATGTTTAACATCCCTCTCAATGACAAAACCCTTTGTTCCCAAAATACCCAGAGCCAAATACAATCAAAATTTCTATTAACGATACATGATGGGACTAATTCTGAATGATCACTTGTGTCCAAAGGGGGTGGGGAGAGAACGAAAAGCAAGATTGGGTGATAGATAGGGAAAGTCTTCTAAATCTATAAAATAAATAAGTCTAAGGGGCAAAAACACTGTACAAAATATAATAACTATAGGGAAACAATTGTGACTTTAACTTGCTACCCTTAGACCCAATATGTCTTCTGGCTTGGGGATGTTATGGAATGAGACAAAGACAGTCATGGTCTAAATGAAGGTAAGCTGTGTAGGATGCCTACCCTTCATAATGGCCTGGCACTATTGTTCTAAAACAGATAACTCTGCTTTTTGCTCGTTTGGCATGTACATCTCGGAATCATCAAAAGAACAGCTCTGGCTGTAAGAGTTCTGGGGATCGGCAAAACTCCCTTCTCCATTACTACTGGCACCGTTATCCGAGGGAGGCAACTCCTCCCCAAGAGGTTCGAGGGCACCAGGTGCCGTCGACTTATTCTCGGATGCTGTCGGGCTAGTTACAGGAATGGCTGGAGTCCGCACCAGTTTGAAAGTCCGCTGGTCGTTATCCGTGAGGTTTTCCGATGTAGGAATGACTACTCCATTGCTGGGTTCATCCCTGTTGAGACCCATGGCAAGCGGCGGAGTTCCTGTCTCAATGACGCTGACAGAGTGCCTGAAAGCGCTGACTGAGGATGGGACTGTCACTTGGAAGAAATTGTCATTTGACGGCTTGAAGATGTCTTCCCGCTCATCCTCTTCGGAAATGATATTCTTATTCCCTGCCTTTGACGACACCACACGTTGACCTCCATCATTGTTTAACTCCGACGCTTCTCGCACAGGGGACGCTGAACTGGAATGACCATTGGAGGGAGCGCTAGGGTCAGCTGCGCCACGAACTGATGAAGGAATGCCGTTGGCCAAAGGACGGGCCGACTGGGGACAAGACATTGAGTGTATCAGCTTTGGTCTTTTTGGGAGCTCGGCTGCCAATGTGCTGTTGGTCCCATCCATGTCAGCCATACTGATGCCCTCGCTGACCACCGAGTTTCCATCTCCACCGCGCGTTGACGGGGCTGCTGAGTCATAGTCCGCTGTGATGTCTTTCCTGAGGTAACCGGAGGAGGGGCTAGAGAGGGCCTGGCTCCGCCTACTGTTCTGGGAGCCTCCGATGCTGGTTGTGGGCGGAGACTGTAAGGGAGTGCTTTTCCGTTGCTCAGCAGAGCTCCTGAAACGTATAACGCTTTCGTAAGATTTTTAGGGCACTTAAAACAAAATTAGGTCATATAAGTGCTAAAGATTAGAGAGGTGTTACACCAGAGTAACAAACAAAAGGAATAGGAATAAGGATGAGAAATGTTAGAAGGAAAGAAGGAGCAAACCCTACAAAACTCCTGCTAACCACCCACAATAGAAGATGCAAACATGATGCCTCTAAAAAACTGCTTTTGAATAACAAAAAGGTCCAGCACTATATCAGACATTTCACAGCAACTTCTCATACTGAGCACTGATTTTTTAAAGTTCTGAACTTATTTCTTGTTTTCCTGATCTAAAAGAGGAGAGGGCAAGACATGGCCCACAAGTAAGGTAATGAATTAAAACAATATGTAAACACTTGTTGAAATTACTTTACACACATAAATGTATACAATAATGGTCAGTTGAAAATTATTTTTACTCCATGTCACAGAAACAGCAGGCTCTACCTAATTGTTCCCCTATTAATATCCTGAAAGGTCAGGACACAATTGCAATTCTGTAAAAGGCCTTGATAAGATATCAAGATCGTGCTAAAATCGAACCACTATTATTTATTTAAGATAGCTGATTATAAACCAGAAAGACGATTTGAGCAGCCTTTCTAAACCGTAAAACTAGCTAAACCGAATAAAATTTAGCTGTCCCACAAATTTCAGTTTAAGCCGACTCCACTGTTTGTTCGGTACAAACAGAGAACAGGTGGGCCACCAAAATCTAAAAATGAGCTCTAGAACGCTCATCAATCACTGACATCACAGAAACACAGCAGAACTATTGGAAAAAAAAGAGAACATTTGGGATCTCAGACAGCCAGACTGTTGGAAAAGTCTTGAGAAATATAGACAACCTTTACTTTTATTCCAGTTGTAAATGTGGTCATTCTATCACTTCATTTATTCTCTTTTTTGAATTACTAGGAGTGGTATTGACTGCTGCACTCAATGACACCAATATAATTCATAACTGCCATCATCCTCTATTTAGTCCTGTCTTCAAGGGCTCAGATAACTTCATGAATTTTCATGGTGCCACCAATGAGAGAAGCAAGTGGTCCCCCTTTTCTTCTTTTTCCCCCTCAGTCTTGCTTGCAGACGGTGTCCATAATTCTTTCTCCATTCCCTTTTCTTTTAATTAAGAATTTGCCCTCATACAACATGAAGGACCAAGGTATATATTTTAATACTATCATTTACTACTTGATTTTACCAGAAGAGCTTTACCAATCTTTACCCTAAACTGTCTCATAAAAGATGCAACAAAAGGGTGAGGTAAGTACTTTCCTCTTGCTGCTTGGAGGCTGACAGGTCTCTCCCAAACCAACAAAGTTCTGGCTTCAGAAAAAAAGGGCTGCCCCTTCATGCAGGTGTGTCAAATGCAAATATAGACCTCCAAGGCAACACAACACCTTAAAAATTAACTGTGACCGTTACCTGCTTCTTGACTTCAATTAGCGTCATAATCTGAGTTTTAGAAAAAAAAGCAAATCGGCACAATAATAGGCATTTAGTGTGGAGAAAAAAAAGCAATCGAGAAAAACAAATACAAAGGGAGAGAAAAGAAGAAGGACCTTCCAGTAAAGCCCTCCAAACACATGCAAGCAGAACATGTGATGATTAGTAAGCAAAAAAAAAAAAAGGCATGAAGTTCATATTGAAGAGAGCAATTGGATAATTTTTAATTTAGTAATCTTTTGGCAGCATGCATGTACGCGGGGGAGAACTTACGGAGGTCTGACTCCGAGTCTCTGCTCCAGGAAAGACCTCAGGTTGGGCAACGTCTGCCTCAGGTCTGGAGTGCCCATGCCACAGTAGAAGCGTAGCTGAGACAAGGAAGAGATGGGTGAGCCAAGGGAGGGTCAGGTGGGGAGGGAGGGGGGAGGGAGGTTATGATCATAAGAACAAAAAGCCTACTGTAACCCAAGTGGGAGTGAGAACAAGGACATTGATAGTAATGATACAGTAATGGTTATTGAGAGAGACAGAGAGAAAAAGGGAGGGAGGAGACAGAAAGACAGAGAGAGAGAGAGAGAAAGAGAGAGAAGGGGGAGACGGAGAGGGAGGGAGAGGGAGAGAGAGAGAGAGAGAGAGAGAGAGAGAGAGAGAGAGAGAGAGAGAGAGAGGGAGAGAGGGAGAGAGAGAGAGGGAGAGAGAGGGATGATGTTGGATTGGGGGGAGGGGGCAGACCGGGGGTGGATATACTCAGAGCACCAAAAACCCTGACCTCAACCCATCTTTTTGTACACACTGACAACAATTGTTAAGTGCATGGAAAATAGAAGACTGAAATAACTTGGGATGAAGACAGAAACACAACCCACCAGTAGCATCTCCAATCACCCACTGAGTGTACTTGGGTATTGCTTCCCTAGCAAGCATAATCACACATAATCTTAGTATAATTTGTGCAGTGTAGTGAAAACAATACTGGTTCCATCATTTACCTCTGGAAACTCATTATGACAGTACTGAGCACAAACAACTTATTCGTTTTACCTTTCCCCCTTTTTTTTCAGTGACAACACACACTGATTTCAAACAAAAAAACCACCCCAAAACTCTTGGTGATGAGATTCGCATTTGTGATGTAATGGCTTAGCTTTTCACCATTGAGCACAGAATATGTGAGTTTGATTTCTGAGGAGGGGGGGGAGGGGGGCAGAACTAAGCTCTGGGGCCACAGATCAATGTCAAGATTCATCACACTATCACTATCTGTCTCTACTACTGGACCTATATCTAGATCGCAACGTTCACTGTTAGTAATCCCTGCAGTCTTCTCTTCCACTAGCCTCTACATTACTAGGGTTAGCATTGCTGCTGTAATCTTCTTCAGCACTAAAAAGGTCTAGATCCCACCCAGCCCATTAACATACGAGTCCATCAGTTTGAAAATATAGTGAGGTTCTTTCACCATTGTGCCATATGCGTTTTGGGTCGTCCGAGAAAAAAAAAGGAAATTTCATTCAGGTATCAAGGGATGTAACTAAAAAAATGCTCAATCAGCTCAAACAGGACAGCAATTACAAACCCGCAAAGACCAGCCATGAAACACACCAGGTGACAGTAGAAAATAAATGGGAAGCTCAAAAGTGGGGAGTTGTAATGACAATCCCTGACCATTGAATTTTCACGAGACACCTTGAGTAGGGGCAGCGAGTGAGTTAATACTCACTCAATTACAATCATTGCAATCATTGGTGATGAAGGCATTTTATAAGGTGTAGAGACACAGATCCTGTAACTCCCTCTTCCCCCACAACGTACCTGGCTCACATTCTTGTTCAGTAGAAAGACAGCGTAGTTGAACTGAAACTTCTCCTTGCCTTTGCTATATAACGGAAACCTGAGATATACATATATATATACATATTACACATTTGAAAAATTGTTGTTGTTTTTTTATGCAGCTGTAGCCTTGGGTAGAAAAAAATATCACAGGAAAACGTACCATTGGGTTATGAAAAAAATGTGACCTTAGATTTTGAATAAAAGAATGAACCATACGAGTGTCAAATTAAAAATTAAAACTGTTATCATAGATGAATCTCCAAAAACAATTAATATAAAAAAAATTAATAAAATGAATTGAGACTGCTAAATCATATTGAGGGCAGTAGAAAGAACTACGCAGAATGTGGGTAAAAGCGTTTCTTCATTCTTAGAGTCACTGTCAAAGCACAAATATTTTTTGACATTTTAGGGAACGTTTTTCTGAGTTGAATTGCATTCTGCACTTATAATCTTATTTTCGTCAAGATTTCAGCCTACGTCCGCTGGTTTCTGTCAAGTCATATCTTTTATCTCCCATCTTGTTGCATTTTGCTCTTTTTCTGCTCAATGTTTCATGCATTCACAGACTTATCCCACCAGCATCTGGGTGTGATGGTTAATTGTTTGTTCGACTCACTCTCTATCCTTATCCGCTAGTTTGCTGTGCACATGATCTATGATCAAGGACCGGGAGCCCCGATGCACCATGGGATAGCGCAACGGCATGTCCATGAAGTGGGACAACATCTGCGTCAGGTGACAAGTGAAGCCCAATGCCACGGCAACTCTGGTTTCGTCCTGACCTACAGGATATAAAAAGGAGGAAATCATTTTTTGTTGTTCTGAGAAAACTTTTTTAAAAAGGTGGTAACCTGAGACATTATGTCTCTTTTATTGGATTTATTGGCCACATATTAGTTTTAGTAAGAGTTCTACGGCCCTCACAACTGCATAAGGTCATATGAGCGTGTGCCATGAATAGGCAAGCGTGGGGTCAATTACTCTCTGCTTTATGTACCCGACAGTATGTGTAGAGAGTAAGAAAGTAAGTTTTGGATTTATAGTACATGAAACAAAATCCTGCAATACTGAGGAGCAAAAACAAGTAACAGGAACATTTACCATACAAATAACCGGAAACCTGAAAAATAAATTGACATGCACTTTGACAATTATTTTGTTTTGACAGGTGGAAAATAAATTGTCACAACATGTCCTAACAAAGTAAAATCCAACATAGTTTAAACTGCAATAATGCCTCAATATTGAAATTCTGATCTAGAGAATTTAAATGCTCCACTAGATTTTTGTTATCATTTAGGGTAATAATAATAATCATAATAACATTGATATAATAATATAGCGCATTTTGACTAAAAAAGCCCAATGTGCTTTACAATAATACAAAGAACATAGTTCCAATAGCGATCCTTTCACTCTACCTCTCTCTCTCATCCTCTACCCACTACCTTTCACTACATGAACTTTAGTCCAATTTACCACATTTCTTTGTAGGAAAAGATCAAACTATGCAAAATACACCATTACAGAAATTTTGATTTCATAGTGACTGTACTATGATGCAATTATCAAGGATAATGTAGTACTCACAGGTCCACTGTCAAAAATTTCTCATTAAAAAAATTGAAGTACTTTTAATAATTTTATCCCCTTTCTTTTACAAGTGGAGCAGCTAAAGAAAACAGGAATACCTATGGGGTTTTGTGAAAATAATTGAAAATTTAAGAAGTTCCATTTGCGAACAAAAATACAGTTAGTAAAGACATGCAGAGAATATAATAGTTTTGAAAATTGATTTCAGGGAGATTTTGTCAAATTTCGTTGAATTGAGCAAAAATGGCATTTTTAAAAAATCCATCCATGAGAGGGAACCTGGCTGGCCCCTTATTTTTTACTGAATAAAAATGAAATCGATAGGCTGTAAAAAAACATGTATAGAGGGTGAACTTACCTTGATAATCTTCCGCATTGGGTAATTTTACTTTGACTATGTAGAAGTTTTGCTTCTCATCCTGAGGACACAAGAGGAATATCATTTAAAGAGATTGTGAGTAGCAAATTAACATTGGCCAATCCTGGCTGAGAGGGATACAACTTCCCAGTAGACAGACAGACACACATGATCTCAAAATTTGCCACCAATTTCTTGAAATAGACCTGCATGTGAGCCTCAACCAGATTGTCTGAAAATTTTGCGAAACCCCCCTCCCCCCGCACCCCATGAGAGCTTTTGTGGGTGTCATAAAAAGGACTTCCGAGTAGTGAGCGACCACCCCAACAAATACAATAAAGAAGAGACCTAACCCTACCAAGAAAGAACCTGCAACAGGCCTCATGTAAAAAGGCCAGCACAAGTCCAAAATGACAAAAAAAAAAAAAAAAGTAAAAACCACACTCCAAAACAAACAAGGAGCATGTATGGTCTACATCTAGATCTACTTTGCTATAATAGGGTTTGATACAATTTAGAATTGGAATATGAACCCTCCATATAGATCTAGATTCTAGATCTAGATATCTAAATAAATCTAGATCTAGATCTAGATGTTGTAGAACAAGTGAATAGGAATAGGCCTTGAACTAGAAATCCGCATCTGATTCCGAACAATGGGACTCAGCTGAGTCTAGATTCTAGATCTAATCTAGATCTAGATTCTATAAATAAATAATTCACGCACCTGATGAAAATGCTTTTTACCAACATTAATATTACAGCACAACCTATGATAGGGTTTGACACAATAGAATTGGAATATGAATCCTCCATTGAAGTCTATAATGATCTATATAAATCTAGATTTAGAAATCTAGATCTAGATTCTATTAGTATTCGCATTTCTACTCAGGTTCCGACAATTATGTTGGAAACGCCGAAGTCGGCACGAAAACGAAAGTGCCGACAAACCCGACGGGAGAAAAAGGGGGTGCTGGCAGTCGGCCAGGTCTCGTACTACGCACATTGACTAATACAGGTGGGCCTAGCGATAGCATCGGCCGGCTCGCGGGTGTCAGATTTCAGACGATTGTCGGCAAACATGCAGGTCTACTGAAACTTCTGGCCATAGCCACTTTTGGGGATATCTATAGAACTTAAGGGCATTCATAATAATATACAGAAATTTTGACTTAAATAGATTATTTCTGGCTTACTTTTGTAATCTGAGCCCAATGTAGCATACAAAAGATTAGTCACAGACCACTCAAGATTGAAATTAGAACTTCAAGAAAAACAATGTGAGATTATCAAGTTCGTCAGAAAACTGATATATAGATCTACACGTTTTTACACCAACTTCGTATCTTGCAATTTTCATTCTTTAAACCTGCACTATATTAAGACATGATGTAAAACAGTTTCCGGGAAAACTGTAAAGTAGACAAAAATAAATTTTCACTTTGTTCTGGACTTACAGTTTGAAATTTATTAACATCCATACATTGTTTAAAGAAAATTTGGCCCATATATCTAGTGAAAATTAAAATAATTTCAGTGGTCAAGTAAAATTGTGAAGGAAAGTCTAAAATGACAAACACAATACCTTTCGTTAGGTGTAAGTTTGGTCACAGGTCGCAAACAAATGTGAAGTGTATAGCATTAAAAAATATCTTCTGCATAACCTTCAGATTTGCGATGTCTTTTAAACTACAACAGGTACATTGGGGTTCCTTCATGACTTGCAAAGCCTATAGAGCCAAAGCTTACAGCAATAGCTTCCATAGCAACCTTTAGAGAACTCATATCAGATGCTAGAATAAAGCAGGTCACTCCCCCCCCCTCTCTGTGGGAGGGAGGGGATGGGGGAGGGGAAACCAATAGCTCAGTTGGTATCAGGCTAGGCTATGGTGCAGATGGCTGTTAGTCAAATCCAAAGAGTGGCCTCTTGAGTTGCAGGGCTGTTTGGTAAATTTTCAAGGAGTACTTCCACCCATATAGCTCTGTAATGGCAGAGATGGGATGACAATCTCAGGGATCCTGCCTCGTAGATGTCTTTGTAGCATTGAAGAGGGAGGTAAACTCATACAACTACAAATTCAAGACCTGATGGTATAGACATCTAACCCCAGAGAAGTAGAGTCCATGTGGTCCTACCTCGTTAATAGGGTAGATGTAGTGCGCCATTTCACTGATGATCTGTTTCCGTCTGTATTGCACTTGGGCATTCTCTTTGACTAACATCTCCCTGTGGACAGGCAAAATGTCAATCAACTGATTTGTTTTAGTAAGCGTTTTATGGCACTTGTAAGACAATTAGGCAATATAAATGCTGAAGATTAGAGGTATTACAAGAGAGTAACAAACACAAAAAAAGGAAGAGAGGTTAGGGCAATAGTTGTTTGATAGGAAAGAAAGAGTAAACCATACCTGTGCACTCACCAACCACAGGCAAAATGTCAATCAAGTGGATGAACATGCAGAAGGACAAAGGGCTGGTGAACTTGAGAGAAAAGAAAGCCTCTACAGCAACCTCAATCAACAACACTGCTGACAAAAAAACAAACAAAAAAACTCCCAAACTCCCCCCCCCCCCCCACACCACCAACAACAAAACCCACCATGTGACATTCAGTTTCCCACTTCAGCAACTGGCTATATATTATTGGCTGGCTGTTTAGATGTACCAAGCCTCACATTTTGAACATTCTTTTCATTGCAGGTTTTCAATCGGTGGCATTTGTTGCATGAGCTAAAAAAATGTTGTGTTGAATTAAGTTCTAAATTTGGAAAAAAAGTAAGAAAGGCTACAAGTATACATGAAGGATTGTTAAAAGAATGAAATAGTTTTTTTTCTCACAACTGAAAAATGTCGCTTTCTCAGCTTAGAACAGTTGAATACCTTGCTAAAGATATGTTCTCTGATAAAAAAGAATTCTGAAGATGTATATGAATCTGAAAAAAAAATATATTCAAAATCTTTTTTTGAACTTAAACACAACGTCTGAGCAGCCTACCTGGACTGTATATGCAAGGTTCTGTCTTCTTCGCATTTGTTGCCTCGAGAGGTCATGTGAGTGTGGTCTTTTCTGAGTTTTTCCACTGATTAGAAAAGCGTGAGATGATAATATTAATAATAATAATAATAAAATCAAATGAGCCTGAACAAACACTGCTTCATGTTGCCAGCTACAGGACAGGCAATGACAGATAATGATGCAGATATTGTCCTTTAAATAACATAGTATATGCTTTAAATAACATAGTATATGCCGGGAACAGGATAGGTAATCACAGGTAGTCAGGCCAATATTCCATCTTTGTGTTATTGTAAAGCTCATTGAGCACTTTCCTTGTGGAAGTGTGCTAAATATACACGTATAGTGGAGTCTGCTTAAACCAAATACATTTTTATCTAAAAACAGCAGCAAAAAGAAAGAAAATAAAATCCCCGATTTTTACTTCTTTGTCTTTGTAAGAAAGCAATCGATTAAGCTAAAATGTGCCCATTTCTAAACCAAAAAGAATTTCAACAGTTATGTCAACGAAATCTTAACTAGCAACCCCCAAGTAATAAAAATCATCGAATCTTGTGAGCTTCAAGATAGCGAAACAAAAGAAATGGGACAAGAGAACCCATGTGCATTGATTGCGGTTCAGAAAGAGGCATTACCAGTGTACAGCTAGCCTACATTAATCACGTAAATCAGTACGTCTACACACAGTGTTTACACCTAGTCAAGCAAGGATAACGAGTGTGTGTGTGTCACGCGACCTTTGGTTGGTCATGACCTATTGTTTCTGCGAAGTTAGTTCACAAAGGCACTAGACATGAGCATGTGATCATATGTGGTGTGTTTCATTGTGTCACTGGCATCGGGCTTTATCACTAAATTATCACATCTCTAGACTAGCGCAGAGCAGAGCACAATGTGCAGAACAGTATGCTGATTACTTTTTCAAGTGTTCTGTGAGACTGTGAGTTTAAGCAAGCTGGCAATGTAGAAAAGAAAGTGCAAGGCGCACAGCCTGCAGATCAAATTGCAGTTACCAAAAAAGGCATCCACAAGTCACACTGTTGACAATCATGGCAATTTGAGCAACCCTCTCTGGACCGAAAACAAGGCTAAACCAGAGAAAATCTAGCGGTACCATAGACGTCAGTGTAAGCAGACTCTACTGTATTCGTGTGTGTGCATAAAGAAAGATGCCAGTTGTCTGCAAAGCTATTTTTGAACAATGGGATGAAAAGGACAAAAAAGTTATACCTGGTCAAAAATTTAGTTCCATTAGAAAACACATGTTTAACCATTTCTTAATAACACATTAAAACTATTTTATAATATTTTAAGTCTAAATATTTTTTATTAGCTATTTTTGCTACATGCTGTACTTCACCAAAGGTTAAAAATGTGCTAGAAATAGTGTTTATTTTTCCAAACTTTGTTTTTACACCTTGTGTTACTAAATGTGGCATATCTTTAACTACTTAAGTGTTTAAAAAATCAGCGTGTTCAGCATAACATTTGCAACAAGAATATGCCCTTACTTCAACAACAAAATTTCCGACAACTGGGACTTGTCCCCAGGCACACACTTATATAATTTATTACAATAATTACACAAAATGATATAGTGTTGCTATTTGCGTATAAGTGTTGTGTTGTGTTGTGCTGATGAATTATTTGTATGAATGTATATGTATGAATGAATGCCACTGTAAAACAAATTCCCCCATGGGGATCAATAGAAGCCTATACTAATTTTGAAAAACTTTGATACAAGACTACACCTGTATGATACAGCTACTCACATCTTGCATCCTGCTCTGCCTTGAATTTTTCCAGCTTTTCTTCCTCTGCCTGCCTCTGCTGCGTCTGCCACAACAGCTCTCGACGGAGTTGTCTCACTTTCATTTCTAACATTTCTCTCTGCGATAACTGAAACATTAGCATTGGAATTCTACACTTTCTGCTTCTAACAGTGAGTGGTTGGTGGGCACTCTAGTGTGGTTTGCTCCTTCTTTCCTATCAGATGCATCTATCGTCATTATCTCTACCCTTTTTCCTTTGTAAATGGTCGCTTTTAAGGACAAGCAGGCTGACCCAGATTTCGGGGGTTTCCAGAAATCTTGACCTACACCAAAAGTGGGCATTGCCGTACCTATAGGAGAAGTTTGGTTCCATTGATATGTATATTTGTTTGGTTATAGAGAAAACTCTCCTTGTTTTTAATGAAAATGAACAAGGGGCAAAAACTTTACCTTCGATTTTCTCAAAACAGCATTTTTCGGGATGGCCCCCTTGTGCTTAAAAGCGACCATATTACTCTCTACTCTCAAGTAACATTTCTATTCTATTCTTCAGCACTTAGTGACCTGAGCTGCAACAGCAATAGATCTTTTACTAAAACTACATCAAACCACATTATCGTGAACACCTTTTGCAATGAAAGGTGGAGCCTTACAGAAAAAGAATAATAATAATAATGTATGACATTTATATATATCGCCCAATCCTGATTTAAGTACACAGGCTCTGATGATATTACAAATACAGGTAGCAACACATAAACAGTATGTTGTCTTCTGACTAACAATTTAGATATATCTTTTTAATCTAAAAACTAAAATGACTAAAGTTGGCTTGCAAATGAATTAAATGATCAGATCTTTCTTAAATTACCAGGCAGTGCCTTCCTGATCTTGAGAACAAAACATACCTTCATTTTGTGTTCATGAGAAGAAACCTTACAGAGGCAAAGTGATACCAAGACTAACAACCACACATGTAACATATGTGTAAGGAAAGTATCATCTTTATGTTATCTCAATTACATAATTAGAACACTATCACCACATGTTCAGCTGTAATCCATTAAGTCTTTCCACACCCCTAAGCAATAAACTTGCACTACCTTTTCAGAGTTCTCAGTGGAAGACAGTAACCTGTCTTCTATACTGGAATGGATGCGTGTCACTGAAGCCTGTGTCTGTTTGATGGCCCTTCGCACAGTGTGGATCCTGGGGAAATCGTATTTCCACTTTTGTTTACAGCTCATTCATCTTATAAAATATTTCATATGAATAAGAAATCAACTGACGTCATCAAAAACAAATCCCCCCCCTCCACCACACAAAGCGAGCGATTTTGACAAATCTGGAAGTGTGACCCTAACAGTCTGAGTGGACATGGAACAATTGGCTTTTCAATTTTTTAAACATCAAAGAAAAATAAAAATCAAAATGGACTTTCTAAGCTAAAAAAAAAAGAGTAGTTGGCTTTCTAATGCCATAACACGAGTTGATGAAATGTAGGTCACACCATGATGAGTTTTGTGACAAAATGCGTTGTATCCAAAAAGTTGAAAAAGAGGAATGTACTCATTGTTTGATTCACATTACCATGTATGCCACTGAAGAAAACTAAAAAATCATGAATGGAAGTAGGATACAATCATTTTTTGTTACATTACATTTTGATACAACATATTTTAACTCTTAGTCAGAAGTCAGTACATCTAGTGACGAGGTCTTGTATATGTGCCACTGTGGCTGCTTATCTACACAGTAGAAGCTGGGGGGGAGGGGGGTGTAATCCTTTGTAGTAAGGAATAGTATTCTCTTATTTAGTCCATGACCTTATTGTGTTGCAAGTGCTGTAAAACTCGTCTAAAACTAAAGAAGTCCAGTTTTTCACAGGAAGTTAAAAAAGAAATTAAACTTAAGTGTGCTCTATAAATAGCATGTTTGAAAGCAGTTCTCTGCATATTTTTACTTCTGTTTGTTTTAAGTTTTTAGGATGTTAACAAGAAACAGCTGTTTCGTTTACAAATGGGTATACTACACTGCAACATTGCTTTAAGAGACGTTCCTGACCAAGTGTCTCAAAAGAGGCCTAGAAATTGAAGAAAAAAAAAAGGCTTGTTTTTTCTTACCTTTTTTTTTCTTTCGGAAATTGTACTCATTCATCATAAATATCTGCTTGCCTGGACTACAACTGTATCCTGGTATGTCAAATCTTCATTCTTTTCGAAAAATTTGGGTGGGTAATACATGCTTGCAGCTTGAAAACTACCTTTATTATGATGAAAATGCTAAATAATGCTTATTTTCAGTAACACTTGCTGTGACAAAACAGGAAATAGGTCTACAACTTGTAAGATTTAAAATAACTATAGATTCAAGATCCCATTTGCAATCTAAAGGGGGGAAAACCAGAATTTCAATAGGGAATAACCCAGTTTGTGAAAAAGTCCTTCATGTTCCCTTTCCCTCTCACAGCTGTCCATCGACACTGATGATAACTAAAGCAGTATACATGATACACCTTTGCCTGAGGGGGTAGAGAAAGTAGATTGTCTTACTACCACTCTCCTCCCTTCAGATCTTCACCTTTTTTTTTGTTCGAAAAGAGAGCCATAGTCAGTGCTTGGAATAAAAGAAAGTGTGAGGGTGATTCTTATTACTTACATGTATGATAAGGATATTCTAGGGGGGGGGGGGGGGGATCTTTTGAATTTCAAAATTTGGGCAAGTGTGTCCTACTCCTCTATGATCTTTAACCACCAAAAGATCTTTGATATGCTCAACATGTAAACGGAACCTATGCACTTTATGATACCTGGACAAGTAATTCAAGTTGTATGATGGTTGCAGCTGGGATTGATCAACACTGACCACTGCGGGCACCTTATTTCTCGGGACTTCCTTGTCCAAAACCTGGGCAAGAATAAAAGACACAAATGACTCTTGTGATGAATTGTAAAACAGCATGAACAGACTAAAAGGAACGAATTGTCAACCTCAATGCTTTTCTGGAAGAATAGGAAAAGGCAAAAAAGGGGATGGAGGTTAAAAGACGAGGCCACAATGAAATGATTCCGACAATACCCCACTAAAATATATTTAAATAGGGAATTCAGTCAAACCTGGTCTAATGGCTACCTGCCAAAGACAATCATCTATCCAAATGACCACTTCCTGCTTCCCCTCCTGCATACCCCCCCCCCCCTATAAAAATAAGATAAGATAATATGTTATTGTTCTTATGGGAAATTGTCTGTGGCTCTACAGGAATGGTCATAACACATGTGGATATGCATAGAATTTTAAAGCAAATTATTTTCATAAAAGCATTTCAAATATGAAAAGAAAAAGAAGACATATTATAATTACATTATGGTCCAAGACATCCATTTGCCAAAGACAACCTAGGACAATTTTGTCACTATTTTTATTTTCTACATTTTCCAAAATATGAAGATTATACATTGCGTCATCTGCACTATTGCCTAATAATATGATACCAGCTGAGCTAACAATGCACCAAAAACTAAGACAGCCTGAGACAGCAGAAAAAGAGATACTATGGACGACCCACTCAGAGTTTTTGCGACTTTCCACCCAATAAAGCTGTGTGTACAATAGATAATAACTCACCCAATGGTCAAGAAGAGGTGTAGTGGCAGTGGCGTTATAGTGAAAGAAGTAGAAGTTGTACATCCCAAATAGGAATGTGTTGGTGGGGTGCTTGATGCCTGGGACCTGCAGCTGAAACACAAACAGTGAAACAAAAAATTGTAAAGGGATGACAACAATGCTATGATTTCAACAAAAATACTCCCCAAAAATTACATGAAATTATTATTTTTCTGGCTTTTCAAAATACGATTTAAGACAAAGTAATTACTCGTGCAAGCTAGCTATTTTATCCTTGGCATTACCCACACTTATTCTGTCAACCAAAAATGTCTCCTCTTCCCTTAGACTTACTTAAAAATTTGATGGCGGACATTATTATTCATAATGTGTTTCCAATATATATCAAGTGGGTTAGATACAATAGACATCCTATTCCCACTTTTGAGACATAATTCACACAGAAATCCACAATCCTCCTCACTTTAAAGAACAATTTGATAGCTCTGACATTCTTTGCTTCAAATCAATCAAGTGGGATTGGCAATATAGAAATACAAAACACTTTTGAGATGCAATCCAGACAAACAAGTAAAACTTACTGAGTTGGCAAAGAAGACCAAACCCGACAAGCAGACATGGCACTCGATTTTCACCTTGCATGTCTGCCCGTTGCCCATCCACACACGCACAACCAAGACTGACAGCTTCGTCAAGAGAATAACTTGGAATGAAAGAGGAACTAAAACACTCCGTTTGATGTTTGGCTTTAATAAAGGGTTTTACAACACTTGCAAAACAAACATGTCTTATTAGTGCCTCCTCCAATTAGAGGTGTTACTAGAGGATTACAAACACAAACAAATCAAGGAGGAGTGCTAAGGACAATTGATCATTTATTGGAAAGAAGGAGCAACCCACACCAGAGGACCTGCGAAACACTCACACACTCCCTTTCAAAACATGGAGCAAATCAAAGACTTCAATCACCAGCAAAGATTATATATATATTTAGAAATATATAGTCTCGCATATTTTCAGCTTCACACTATGAATGAAAGCTAGAAAGAAATATATGCCTTTCTGGGTATTGACCACTTCCAAGGAGCTGTGCTTTACAATTTTGTTACTGCCAAAATACATTTTTTTGTTATTGAAGAGATGTTTAAATTAATAATGCACCGATCGACTCATTAGATCATATAGGATCAGGATTGAACCCTGCCTGTCAGGAACAAAGCGGACTGAGAGGGACACAATGTCCCAGCAGACAAATGTAGATGCTCATTAAAAAGAAGCTCCCAAATTATCATAGTTGACCTCATGCTATCATGTGAAGGCGAAGCACTTAATTGCAACACAGCAGACGCTGGTCATATCCATTGCCCTTTCCCAAAAATTAATTGTAACACAGCAGACGCTGGTCATATCCATTGCCCTTTCACAAAAAATTAATTGCAACACAGCAGACGCTGGTCATATCCATTGCCCTTTCACAAAAATTAATTGCAACACAGCAGACGCTGGTCATATCCATTGCCCTTTCACAAAAATTATCTTCAATAAACATCAACCTTCCCAACAGAAAGGGAGCGGGTAAAAATATTTCATGATATCATAGCACCCCTACAGCAATTTGGTTTTTCAGTATTCTCGGAATAAAACATGTGTTGAAAAATGGTCCCCTTGTACAGAAAAGTCATTGTAAGGATGTTTCAACAGTACATCAGATTTTGTTAGGACACATCAACATATTCAACCTTTGATAAAGGATACACTTTGAGGTGAGATCCACTTCTGAGTCAAAACGATGTAAATCGAAACTTTGCCATGTGGGATTCTGAAATTTAAAAAAAAGAAGTATTTCATCAAATAGGTGTGGTGACAAGGGAAAACACGACTTGATGGTCCAGATAAAGAATTCTTAATAACAATTGTTTCTTAAACTACATTCAATTGTGAGTATTTTGCTTTTATTTCAACTAAATCCATCCATAAGAACCATAGATACAAATGTATGCCCTTATGAATAACCTGGGGGTAGCAAATTAAAAGCTGAGAAAATGGCCATTGAAGTAGATCACAGAAATTCAAGCTATCAAACTAAGTCATTAACCAAAGAAGCCACGTTGTCGTTTGTTGTCTTCCCGAAATTGAACTTGCCCCAATTCTTTTTAAGACTCGCATTCCATATAATGCACCGATCGACTCATTAGATCATATGGGATCAGGATTGAACCCTGCCTGTCAGGAACAAAGGGGATTGAGAGGGACACAATGTCCCAGCAGACAAATGGACTCGGCCAAAACTCAAAATTTCCTACCAACTGCAAAATGTTTAATTTGTCCTGCGTGGTCATATGACCTTATGCAGCTGCGAGTGTCATAAAACACTTACCAAAAAAAAAAGAAAAGAAAAAAAAGAAAAGAAAAACTTTAAAATAACATGCTTAAAGTAATTTTGAAATGGTTTTAGTAAGACAGGAATGCATAGAAATGAATATATATATATATATATATATATATATATATATATATATATTTATATAACAACTGAGAAGACGTAAAGTGGATAAAGATAATATAAAGTTATAGATCCCTTTATGCACTTCGTCAAAACCGTGTATATGTTCACTTAATTTTTACCATAAATCTCGTTCGGTCTAATTGTGTGCACTTTTTTTTTTTGAAAATCAGATTTTATTTATGCAAAACTGATCGTCTTTCAAAAGGAAAAGATTTTAAAAATCAAATTCTGTTATCGGTATTTCGCAACCTCAGAATTACAAATTTCTATCCGCACAGTACCTAGTTTTGATAAAATCGAATTTGAAAATTTTAAGTTTTTAACAACATGGTCAGGCGTTTTTGAAAGCACCATATTTCTCAATTATTCATGTAACATGATGCAAAGTGAGTTGTAACAGGTGGTTTTAAGTCATTTTGGCTGTGATTCTTTCCAGATAGAGTATTGTTTGCAGATAGATTTTTGTTATTTTCAAGAAAGCTTGCTACTAAGCTCAGAATTACAAAATTCTACCTGCAAAATCAGAAAAATCTCTGGTTTTGGCCCCAAGAGTAATGAAATACAAATAGTATCTTAATATATGTCAGGGTTAGGGGGTAGGGGAAGGATTGCAGGATTGGAGAATAATAGGGTAGTAAGTAAAGTAATCGTTGGGGCCTAAACTGGATTATATCCTGAAAAATCACTGGTGTAATTTAGTTACACTGGTATCGTCTTCTCTTGCTTTTCTATTTAGTTAGGCATTTTCTCACTAGTTTTACCTCTGACAGCAGGTAACCCTCACCTTCTTCAATCGCGAATATCTCTACTTCTATTCAATACAGATGCCCATTTTTTTTCACCTAAAACAAGACAAATAAACAAACTTTAAAATGATAGCAATAACTTTACATGACCCAACACTGACGAGAGCTTGATTCAAACGTATCGTTACACAATTCTTCTCTTGAAGATAGAACATTGTGATTCTGAAAGGATCCTCTGGTATTCAGATAGAACAATGTAATTTTGTGGGGTCTTGTTAATGACTGAATTATCTTAAAATTCTTATAGAACAGACAGAATTTGGTTTCTGGCCTCATGGTCCTAATAACTCAAAATGGCCAAAAATGTCAGATACAACTTCGCAATTCTGAGGTAGCGATTTGCAAAACACTGGATCTAGGGACAGTAAAAGTTTATAACACAAGCATGTTAACAAACATAATGCATTATTCACTTTTAAAACATTTGATAGAAACTTCAAAAATTTTACTGAAAAGCTAAAATCACATACCAGGGAGCCTGTGATCCTTTCACTAGTGTAGAAAGCTGGAGATGGAAATTAAATTTTGGTAATCACAATAATATGACATACAAACATACAGGGAGAGACAACTACAACTTCATCCCCCTAATTCAATAAAATTCATTAGCCTCATTCATAAAATCCCATTACAAGCTTTCACCACTGACTAGCTAAAATCTATAATGAAATCTGCTTTATTGGCCACCATCACCAGTCCAAACGACCAGTTCCTTTTCCTCCTTGCATTTTAAAAATATCAATTTACGACATTGTTCAAGATGTTCACCCACCTCAGACAATCACTTTTCTCCGGAACAACAATGGGTGGCAGTCTTTCAAGAATAACTTTGACAGTATATATCAAATAAAGTTCTGCAGAGTACTGACAAAAAAGATGTCTGTTCTATCAGTGTATTTTAAAAGAAATATTAATTTCTAAGGACAGGTAAATGTTGTGTTGTAATTACACCTTCTCAAGATTATGAACTCGGGCACCACTCTCAACAAAGTCAATAATTTTTTTGTAAAAATATACAATTACCTAAATACAATATATATAATTTAATAATATAAATGATTACCATTGCTCTTCTCATTAGTGTGAAGCGTGAAGAAAACCTGTAGTGAGCTAAAGTCAAGATCAGCATCCTGCGGACAGCGGAGATTTCTCACAGCAATGCTCTGAAGGTGCCTTAAACGGCGCTGCAGAAACAACAACAGTGCCCTTTCTCATAAGAAAAATTTACATAATAAAATTAATGAAAAAATTCAGACATGACATAGAACAAATGTGCACGACCCATCCTTTCCATAAGCACCAACACCAAAGGCAGGGAAAAAAAGCAGTCTACTGCCAAATCAAATCTTTATTAATTAAATCAATGAAACAGCAGAAAAGTGAAAAAAAGAAAACCTGAGCAAACTAGGCAAAAAAATCTTGACAAAACCAACATTTCCTCCAGATACCTCTGAATTACTCATCATTTCTTATATGAGAATTGACTTAGAACCTGTATGTATGTGTATAAATAATGTGTGTTTTAATTTCATACTTTTCGGCTACTTACTTAAATTAAAACAACAGTAACAACATTATCTAACCCTAAAAATTAAAAGAAGACAAAAACCTCAATATCACAGGGATCATTTATCTATTCTTCATGCTATAAGTGTAGTGTTGTATTTTTATAGAATCACTCCTTCTCGCGGCTGCTATCCATGCCAGTTTGGCTTTTTGTTTTGTTTATCATGCACTCTTTTGTAGTCATTCGGGCGGATCTCCCCCTCTTGAAACTAATCATTTGCTGCGTTTTTTAATGCCAAAATCATGTTCAGTTCCCTAAAAAACCCATAAAAAGTTATAATATAAAACCCTTTATGAGACGGGAGTGAATCTATAAGTTTTTACCCATTTTTAATCATAGGGGTGGGGGAGGGAAGAAACTGCTTTCAAGTCACACAATGATCTCAATTGAAAGTAAAAAGTCAATCCAGAGACAGAGATAGAGATGGGACTTCGTAATTTAAACCCAACTAGGAATCCCAACAGCTGTATCTCAACTGTGTCAAGCCTCTAGGTAAAATAAATTATAGTTAGAGCTGTCGTCTCGTACAGATGATATTGTTGAGCAAGATGTCAAGATAGTGGGTTTAAAATTTGGGTTTATTCATGAATCGCACCTAATTGTATTCTCAGATCTCCATTATATTCAAATCTTAGTGCTTTTTTAACTCTTTCCAGACGTATTGCCGATATATCGGCGCGAGTCCACATCCCTTGAGGACGTATCGCCGATATATCGGCTATGATAGGGTGCCTTCAGTATTGTTTCGTTTTAACACGATCCGTCATTTATAATTACTTTTTATTGCTATTGAAAAACTCGGAAAGGATTTAGAAAATGAAAACATCTAGTTTCACTTTGTCAAAGCGTGGGTTTGGGGAAAAACAAGTGAATTAGTTCTTACTGTCTTGCATCACAACAAAGCGATGTAACCGGACTCATTTATATCATAACCCAAACAAAAATTGGAATATTGCTTTCAAATAAAAAGCTGCGCATTCAGAAATTTATGGATTATGCTCTTGGCCTGTATGATAAGATAGCTATGCTGATTTGCTTTCACATGTTTGGTGAATGTAATTTTTTCCGTCAAAATTTATTTTTCTCATCACCATCGCCATTTCTAACCCTTCTAATTTGAATGCACGATACTTTTTTATGTTTCAAAATTAACCCTTGTTACATTATATTGGGATGTATTCCACATTAAGTTTCCTTCAATTTGATACGTTTTGAGTGATGGTTATGCTTCTATGATGAAGTATTTTGTACATCACCTGCATCTAGGCTGTGAATAAAGCACACTTTTCTTTCCTTGGATCACCATCAAAGAAAATGTCAACTTTTAGTGGTGTTGTTACATATATATCAGTGCAGATATGAAGAAGACATTCATGATGGAAATGTAGATCTGCAGCTCATGCCAAATACTTCTCACAAAATTAGATTGACACTATGAGGACCCCTGGCAAAATATAGAAGATATAGAAGTTTCTGGAGTCAAGAAAGTGTACAGAATGATTTGGGAACCTTGCAGAGAAGTTACCATGCATTCACACGACAGATAAGATGTCTAGTACAATGTGTACTCCTTAGAGGGGTTTAGGAATGCAAGTGATCCATCTCGAAGTGATGACTATGTGGTCAGTATTTGGGATTGGATGCTTGTGAGATGTGATGAGAAAAAATACCATGGAGAAGTGACAGGAAAGGGGACAAGAGGGTTATGGAGAATGTCATGTCACATTTTACAGGAAAATGGAAGTGGCTTGGAATGAGAGATGAGATTTACCGAGCTATTGAATCATATAATGACATAAAGGAAGATTACTACACCAAAACTCATTTTGTCCCCTGGTCAGTTACAATTTCAGCTTCAAACATCAACTTGTTCCATTGTGATATGTTTCAGTATGGTAATTTGCTTTTCTTTGCCTATTTCTATCATTACTTTTGAAGATTTGCTTGTTTTGTATGAATGTAACAAAGGTAACTTTTGATGTAACACGACTTCCACCCCATTCTACGAGATTCAGGGACTTACTTACAAGAACTGATATTACTGAGTTATTTCCTACCGTCAACTTCACACGTTCATGGAAGCATTTGATTATAGCTCTCTTTTAAAATTTATTAAATGTGTGGGAAAGCTTCTGTATGTTTTGTGTTTCGTGTGTTACATTGTCACGAGAGGTGGACATTCTCTCTAATGTGGTCATAACATATGCATTTAACCAGAAATTGTTTTTGCATTCCAGTAAAGTATGCTAGGAGAGTACACAAACATAAAGATAACAGGATTATTTTATTCTGTCATTGAAACAAAAAATTCTTTACTAAATGGTATTTTTGTCTTTGCCATGACATTTTCCTTTCTCACTTTTCACCATGCATTTTTTATATGAAAGGGACGGTTTCTACCATTTTTGAGTTCAGAACTACACCAATAAACCTTTCTGCTGAACATTTCACATGGTACTGAGTTGATTTCATCAATTTAATCTTTTTGCATTTTGGTGGACGGCTCGTGGAATGGGCCATCAGACCCCCCAAAAAATTACGTCCGGAAAGAGTTTTTAACTCTTTAACCTTATATTTCAAATTTACATCATGAACATTAACAACAAATCAATTAAATTGGGCCTCCCTTACACACTCTAAACAATCCAACCGATTCCAAATTAAATCTAACTTGGAACTTGGTGAGAATTAAACTTTAAGACAAGAAAAGTTTCTTCTGAATGGCAGAGGTAGATCTTCCTGAAAGACTTATCAAGCACTTCCTCCTTGCAAAGGAAACTGAAAAAAATTATATCAGCAATAGAACACACTTCATGAGAAGTGTTGAGCATTTTGGCGATGTCAACATGAAAAAAGCACTTTGTTGATTTGAAGGCGCCCAAAAAAGACGAGAAGGTATTCACTCATTTTTTAAATATAGTTAGTTGCACTCCAACATCACCAAGGATGAGAGTCAGCGAGAGGCACTCGGCTGACAGAGTGTGGGCTGCTTTTACAATCTACCCTGCCCTTCCCTTTTCCCTCAGCCCGGCCAGACACAGAGTTCTATAATACCATTGAGCCCTAAACTCTTTAAATGCACAGTCTTCAGAGGAGTGCGACGAGAAGGTATGATTATGACCAGGAATTCTGTATGCTGTGTTCAGTGCGTGTGCATTTTAAGTACACCGTTGTATCTGATTCTAGTCTAGACTTGATCTAATCTGGACAGGACAGCACCATGTCATTGGTACGATATCAAATTTCTTAAGACTACACGTAATTGGTGTGGGTGTGCGTGTGTATGTCGTGAGGGGTAGATCTAGCGAAGATGTAGATCCGAGAGTGTGTGAATCATCATTGCCTTTTTCACCCTGAATCAGGGTGCATAGGCCACAGACAAACACTTTCCACCTTTCTCTATCCTGGGCTAGCCTCTTGATGTTATTCCAAGTCTTCCCACTTTTGAAATTCGGTACATCAATTTCTGTAATTCTTCTCCAGGTTCCATGCGGTCTTCCCCTTGATCTCGTATCCCGTGGATTCCAATCCAACACTTTCTTTGTTAAATCATTAAATGCCAGTGCCTGACTTCCTGAGAGTATGTTGATCCATCGCATCCGCCTTCTTCCTACTTCATCTCTGCCTGGGATCTGTCTTGTTTTCATTAACACTTCCTCGTTGGTGACCCTATCTGTCCATCTGATCCTCAGTAAACTGTCTTAGAGTAGACACCAAGAAAACCTGGATCCTCTTATATATGCAAGTCTGTGATGTGTTCCATGTCTCACATCCATACGACAGCACAGACTTCACATTTGAATCGAAAATCCTCAGCTTTGTTGGAAGTGAAAAATCTCTTGTCTTCCAAAAATCCTATCTAAAGATATGAACTTTATTTCTGCACCTGTTCCTTCCTCCCTCGAGTCTGAATAACATTTTTTCATATTCGGATTCGAGTCCGAATAAAAAAAATTCTTATTCGGACTCGAGTCCGAATACGAAAAAATGTTATTCGGACTCGGGTCCGGAAAAAAGGAAGTGTCTTCATTCTATAGTCCCCCCCCTCCCCCCCCCACACACACATCTTTTCTGCCGATCCGATGCCCGCCGCCTCATTGATACGCCCCCCCCCCTCACCCCCCATGTTTCCCACTTTCTTTGTTGTAGAAAAAGGTGAAATTGAAGATTAGCAGACCACCTGGCACCTGCATATTATGAGCTGTTTATCCAGAAAAAGTTGTGTTGCTGTGTAGAGCTGAGCATACGGCAACTTTTGATTCCATAGACCAGCGCACAATTCATTACGTAGATCTACATCAAGACTAGCTTATTATTGTAATAATGATCAGTTGCCGGGGGGGGAGACTGACGCGTATGCGACGTTCAACGCCCGGACCGATAGTGCCCCCCCCCACCCCCCTCCTCGACATGCACACAGCCACACGTGTGCAGGCCGCCCATCCGACCCCGACACACGCTAACGAGCCATCTTTAATTGCTTCTGATAACTTCTTGACAAATAAACATTTATTAGAAGCGCTATAAAATTTCAGGCCGGCCTCAAATTCATCGTAAGATTAAAACTCGGCTCCTGCACAAAACGCCTTTTTGCGAAGTGATCTCTACCCAGCTTGAGGCGAGTCACGAGTGAGGCAGGACAGGAAGCCAGAGTCACGAGTCACAGGAAGTCGGAAGTGATGTCATGCTGGACAAGAATCAGAGTCCGAATAACATTTTTTCATATTCGGACTCGAGTCCGAATAATCACTTCGTCAAAAATTATAACTCCCAAGATAGCAGAAGGATTCAACCTCTTTTAGTGTATTTCCTTCTATTGTGACCTGCTCCTTTTGTTGTGCATCTGTCTTTCGGACCTTTGACTTTCCGGGGTGTATCCTCAATCCAATAGTAACAGACTCTGAAAGGCTGTTACTGTAAAAAAAAGTCTTCGCTTGGGCGGGGTGCAGCAGTCAGCAGAAGCGCGAAGGCGAAGTCGTCCACAAAGTCCAGATCGTCCAACTGTGTCCATGGGGTAGCCTACACTGTACAATTTCTATGTCCTCTGGTGGTTTCTTTCATCAGCAAATCGACTGCCAATGAAGAGGAAAGGGGTAAACTAAAGTAGATTCTAAAGATCCCTGCCTCACACCAGTCTTTGACTTTGACTTGAGGGTGTCAAGTGTGTGTGCATGTTTTGTCGTTTTTTGTTGGCGTTGGGGGGATTTCAATTTTTTATTGAGGGGGAGGGGGGGGTTGGGGACAAAGGGGAGGAGGTGGGAAAAGGGAATCGAAGTGCTAGGCAAGACGGTTAGTTCTACAAACTACAGTACAAGCCGCCCCTGGTAAACACCCTCTTTCTTCTTCTGAGTCGTTGTCTTGTGATTTTGTTTACAAAACAAAAGGACAACAAACCTGATACGTCTGCAAGTTGAATGGGCTTTTCACAACAGGAAAATCCTCGGATGAATGCATTATTTCACATTGAATGGTTCACAATAACTCCGTGAAAATAAATCTGATCAAAACCGGCAGACAACTTGATCCATCCATATGACAACCTACGACATCTCGTTAATCTCCACACTGTTGTCACTTGGTGGGCGAGTAAACTGCCACCATATTTGATCACATGACATTGGTTGAGGATTTAGTAAAACAAAGAATTTTTCCTTTCGGTTGGAAGAAAAAGATTTCACAATGAACTAACACTATCAAAGATATAATTTAACTAAATAGTGGACATTTGGTATAAACTACAAATTTTAAAAACAATGTTTCTTGAAAAAGCGACATAAAGTACTACTTTCTGAATAAAACTATTTTGTTTCGTAATACTTTTAAAGCACCGGATGTTTGAGCCGCTTAACTTAACACAAGCACAAAGTAAACAATAGCTTTCATCAACTTTCACTTTAGTCTTCATTCATCATTCAGCGCCGTTTTGGAGATCAATGTTTATGTTTACGGCTTGCATTGCTTCTATCAACCACTTACATCTGGTCATTTTAACTTCGTACCAATTGGAACATTATGGCTGGAAATTTCTGGGCTAGCTCTCATTAGTAAGTGTGTTTGAGTGACAGAGTGCTAGAATCTAGACTAGCTGTCACACATCCTCTCGGTATGAATTAAGGAAGCCATGAATTAAGACCTCTATTCTCACCCGGAGTGAGAATAGTGCAGGCGAGTCTTGTGGCTATTCTCACCCGGTGCGCGTTCACCAAATTTTGCGTTCACCCTAAACCACAGAATTCTACACTGTGATAACAGAAAAATTGTAGAATTCTGTGCCGTGAACAAACGTTCCATTACAACTGTAGCCTACTAAAAGCGTGGAGAGAGAGAGAGAAAGAGAGAGAGGAGTAGCGCGAGAATTTCCGGGCAAAACAAAATGGTGACCCGCGTAGTTCGGCTCGATTCGAAAAGTTAAATAGCCGTAGCATCTTTGTAGACAACCAAATTAATTTACTTTTGTGTTTTAACATCATTTTTTAACTTTGTTTTGGTCAATTTGATCGTCCACACCCATAGACAGTATTCAGAAAGAGACAGAGAGAGAGAGAAGAGGAGAGGAGTTGATCGTGCGAGAACTTCCGGGCGGGTGAGAATAGCCTGAGTGGAAGGACTTCCGTAACAAGCGACCGGCAATACCATCAAACACAATAAAGAAGAGGCTTCCTAACCCTAACCCTGCCCCTACCCCTATCCTACACTGGCAATTGTATACTTTCTCACGTTTAATTCCGCCTGCGCCTAGATCTGCATCTAGATTTAGATCTAGACAAAACTATGCTTCCCCGACTGGATATTCAAAACTTTGCGTTTGGATATTAAGAATACGTAAACCACGGCAATTTCATCATTTATTGTAGGTAGATTAGATCTAGATCTATATCTAGATCTCTAAATCTAGATTTAAGTCGTAGTAACATACTGGCTATAGACCTTCCGTACTGATTTTGATGGCCATTGATATTCATAGAGTTCAGAGTGGTCCCTCGTTACGGAAGTCCTCCCCAGGAATTAAACGCTAAAAAGTAGACATTTTAACAATTACCCCTACCCCTACCCCTAGCCCTCAATTCTGCTCTGTCTCATAGTGGTCGCTCGTTACGGAAGTCCTCCCGTCTGAGTGAATGGTTGCAAAATTGCAGTCCGCATTCTAAATGGCGGCTCTATTTCTCCGAACGCTCAGGAAAATAGACTTTAACTCTATTTCTCCAAACGGTTTCTGTTCTCGAGATTTGTTGATGATTTGCGAATGGAGATGCCCGCGCGCACGCACGCATGTGTGTGTGCGTGTGTGTGTATAAGGTGTGAACGAGGCGGGGAGAGATTTTATTTTTGTTTACAAGGATTTTAGTGTTTGCTTTAGGGGTGACTTCTCGCAGTAGGCCTACCTTTTGAAGGCATTTTCAAATTACGTATGTCCGGGAACGTTGCCCCAACCACACCTGAAGTTATAATCTGAATATTCAGACTTAAAAAAATCTCTCTGGATCTAGATCTAGAGCTCTAGAAATTGAATTCGATGCAATATTATGCTTCTTCCCAGTCCTCGCAGAGTGGGAGTGGCAGAATGAAAGATGACACCTAAATCTTGCAAAAATAACCAAAAAATCTCGAGAATGGAAACCGTTCGTCTCAGAAATGGAGATCAAGTTTATTTTCCCGAGCGTTCGGAGAAATAAGTCACTTCTTTTATATGAATATATTTTAAAATCATTCTCATGAATCATCATTATTGTTGGCATTGGCCTAACATGCAATCTGATATGACCATAATGTTGGTGTGGTATTTAGATCATCATAGGCAGTGATGGCTTTTTTGGATTTTTGGCCGTTTAAGTTGTGCCTGGCTATGATGTTCCAGTGTGAGAACCTTAGATTCTACTAAAGCTATGTTTTAGAACTTAGATTCTACGCCACGCATTCACTTTCTACACTACACTGACACTGTAATCTACTCTCTATACTAGATTCTAGTTGCTTCTTCGTTCTCATAGATTAAGCCACTTGTGGCATTGTTGATACACCAAGCCAAAAGTGTGTAGATCTACCCAACACTAGCCGTACTTAGATCATCCTATTAACCGAAACCTGTGGCGTAGACAGGTCTCATTAGATCTAGTAATTATTGAGGTTTAAAATACATGTATGCATGTCAGTAAGGCACCTTATTAGTTTTGTCTGAAATACTTTTTTTTAAAATATATAATCTAGATCTCGTACACTTTAACTTTAGGTATTGGAAACTAAAATTTTATTTGCAATTCAGCCATCATAAGTGTACGGCTTACTTTCCAGTCTAGCCGTCCTTAAGTACAGCTCTAGCCTAGCTGTCTAGCTGGCCTAGCAGTCTAGGCTAGCCTGCCAGTCTAGCCAAAAGCTGTATTGACTGAAACCTGTTGAGTACACAGGTCTGATTAGTAATTATTCAGGTTTTAAATACATGTTACTGTCAGAAAGTCACCTTTTGGTTTCGTGTGAAATACAAATTTATACTTAGGTATTGCAAACTAAAAATTTATTTAAAATTATTTTTGGTACACCTAGATCTTTTGCTGTTTATCAGTCTAGCCATCATGATTAATTATACGGTTAGAAAGCCTGGCTGTCATTAAGCTAAGAGAATGGCTAACCTAGTCTAAGTACCGCTAGCCTACCAGTCTTTTTACGGCTAGCCTCTTTCTATTTGGAGTAAAATAGTTTCTAAAGGCACACAAATATCTTATTTTAAAAAGTATCCAATCTCTTGAGTGAGCTCTGTAAATGCAATCAGTGCCCATTCACATTGGCATTGGCAGGTTCGGTTCGGTCTTTAGGGCGAGGCTTGCCTGATGTTCCTTCATGGAGAGGCAAAAACTACCATCGTGGTACAAAACAAACAAAACTGGTAATGACCTTCAAAACAAGGCAGTGAGTCGAGTGATCTGTTTGAAACAGGGGTCTAGGTCTATTTGTAGTGAGCACTGATGCCGCCAGAAACCATACCGAGCCGATCACACCCACACACACACACACACACACACACACACACACACACACACACACACACACACACACACACACACACACACACACACACACATACTGTCACACATCCTCTCCTCCACATAAGCATTTAAGTAAGACATTTTATTTATTATTTGATTTAGAGTTGAAGTAGAGTGGCTGGATATTTAGTGTTAATAGTACTATGCTTTAGAGACGACTCTTTGGCATGTCATACACACTGACCACGTCACAAATGAGGAAGTACGCAGTAGAGTGAAATAACACATGAGTCACTGAAGACTTACTGTCTACTGTGAAACGAAGAAAACTGAAATGTTATGGCCGTCATGCAACAAGATCATGCGGCCTATCCAAGACTATTCTTCAGGGTACTGTGCAGGGGAGGAGATGGAGAGGAAGGCAAAGGGAGGGATGGCGCAACAAGCTTGCGGAGTGGACAGGAAAATCCTTTGCCCAAACTCAGACACTTGCAAAAAAACATGAGAAGTGGAGGCACCTGAAAACACTCTCTGTCATGATACAGCACCCCTACGATCCTCGTGTATTATGGGATCAATGATCAGTGACCATGGATTTTGTGGGCAGGTAGTTTATATGAGAGTCTTTAGTCGATGGGAAGGGGGAGGGATAGGGGGTTTTCTTTTTTCAAAAATCATGTTTTTTATCCATCTTATGTGTGTGCATGCGTGATATTAGTTTCATCATTTATCTGATCTCAAAGTCATGGCATTCATATTCAATCCATCAAATTGTTTTAATTTTAAAATTCCAGTCAGCAGTGGCTTCTTGATCGCCAGGACCTATACAGAGAGCGACAACATGACCTGAAGATACTCGCTGAGGAAGAGTACCAAAAGATTATGATGCTCTTTGCTAATGGTTTGTAAATATTGTTTTGCTCCTGCTGCATTTATCACATGATTTACTGTGTACGTGTGTATAAAATAGTTTTGACCATAGAGCTGCCAACCAGTACATTAAAAAAAAGTGTCTTGGACACGGATGTCCACTCGGGATCACTTAGTAGCCGGTCGACCTGACCTCCGAGATGAGGTCACGCCCGGGTCACGCTACCTGTGGGTGCTTGGCCTGGCAGTCAGGGGCTCACCAGCAATGTTTAGGCAACTGTAAGGTCGTGGGTTCGAATCCCGTCAGGGGCCCTACGTTGTGTCCTTGGGAAAGGCACTTTGCACAAACTTTCCTCACTTCACCCAGGTGGAAATAGGTGTGCCTACCCGGCTATAGACAGTGAACGATCTTGTCAGTTTGGTAGTGTTTGAGCACTTGAAATTCGCAGCTTGCACTGTATGCTTCCGTGGAAGCTGAGAATGTTTCTAAGTGTTCTCAGAGGGTCTGCTGGGGTAATAATAGTTGTAAAGCGCATAGCATGCTCTTGAGCATGGATATGTGCTATATAAATGCAATTATTATTATTATTATTATTATTATGTTTTTGTACACATAAAGCAACATCAGTTCTTATTTCAGCTGGGAAACTCTAATAAACAACAACCAAATGATCACATGAAGATGGTGTATTTTTGGACAGTATAATTTTTATCACGGAGAAGTAAAAGAAAGTGTAGTTATAAAGAGGGGGAATGTGGCTTCCATTATTGGTTGGTTATCACAAACAAAGATGTTTTGTTTTTTTTAATAATAAAAAATAAACGGAGCAACAGATTTTTTTAGTCTTCATTGTCAGCTCACAGTCAGACTCTGTACTTTCAAACACTTACGTTTTTCAGTTTCTCCCGAAAAGTCTTGCTACCATTGTTGATAGATGCACACAGCCTTGTCGTTGAATGGGAAAACAGTTCTGTCCATTCAACTCATGAGTACTTTTTACGTGTAAGTCAGTAATGCTATGATTTGCTCATTTATGTGACAAGAATGCTTGTCTGTTTATTCTTTGCTGCAGACTTATCAAAAACCAGTTTTCAGTTTATTAAAGTCAGGTGAAATTGGTTTACAGCTCATAACACATTTTTTCTGTATACCAAACGTTTCTTACTGTTTTATTTTTCAGTTATACAAGCTCTCGGCGAACAGCTAAAATTCCGCCAGCAAGTTATAGCAACAGCTACAATATACTTCAAGCGATTTTATGCCAGGTTGGTTCTTGTAAATTTTATTGTTAGTACTTATAGTAATAGGGATCATGAAATGTTTTTCGTTTTGCTTTTTTTTTGTTCCTGCTAAAAAAAAAGTAAAATATATTTTTCCACCCCGTTTAATGCAATTTAGAGGATTAAGGCAGCAGGTGTGATTGGCCGTTCAAGCTCATCGAACTTGGTTTTTACATGTGGGAAGAAAAGCCATTACACATGTCTGTTTTGAGTTTTTTGTGCCATTTTTCCATGTTATTATGTACCTTAAAGGTGAATGTCAGTTTGTTAAATTATTGTTTTCCTGCAGTGGATTATAGCTACCTGGCCAATTTTTGTTTGAGAGCAAAATAAAATAAGTTCAATGTTTTTATTTTCATCGTTATCATCATTAATATTATTATTATTATTGTTGTTGTAAGTACTATAAGAAAAACCAAAAAGTTGGTGGAGACTTGAGCATTTGAAGTTTTATGACAACCATCATGTTTACACATTTTTCGTAACTTATGAAAATCCAGCACCAAATTGGGACATAATAAGCCTTAAAAGTTTGTCTTGTTTCTCCTTTCTCCAGAAATTCCCTCAAGTGTATAGACCCTTGGCTGATGGCACCAACGTGTGCGTTTCTTGCATCTAAAGTAGAGGTGAGACAATAGCAGAAAGCTTGAATTATTGCGTCGAAGGGTTCGATCTTTTACAAGGATTATTTGGGCCTTTACAAAGTGTTTCCCAAAAGTGTGAACAGATCGTTTGTCCAGATTTATTAGATAGTATGGCCAGCTGTTTATCTTTTTTTAGTGCTTTTCTACTTGCGTTAAAAAGTTTTACAATTAATTTAGTGATATTGTGTTTATCTTCTTGGAAAATATGTGCTGTAGTCCTCACATTTTCCCGTTTGGATTAATAATTGGCGTTAATGTTTAAACTTTGATCAATTCTAAGGGTTTTAGAGCTAGACCCCAGGACCGGTCTAGGTTGGGCAAACCTCTTGATATTATTTCATGTTTTCCCACTTTTCTGTACTTTATTCTTTGTGATTCTTCTCATCTTTTGTGGCACTTAAGCACTCTTTTGTTGTTTTATACATGGTGCGAACATTCCACGTTGCCATCTGGAGAGTATTGTTCGCTGGAGAAGGTTTTGGGTAAGGAAAGTCTGTTTGGCTTTGTCCACAGTCCTTCATTGGTCTTGCTGGTGCAGAAACTCCTCTTTTATATTTTACACGGTCAGGTAGTTGGCTCTATGTCAACTGACTCTTTTTCAGGAGACCAGACCTGCACACCATTAGTCATCTGTTATGGCATGTTGTATCACAGGAGGTGTTAATTTTTACTCCCCCATTGTAAAAGTTTGGGGCCCCCCACCTGCAGGGACAGGTTGAACAGTGTTTGTGAAGTAAAATGCTCCTTTGAATCATTTTTCTTTAAGTTTGTGCTTTTGGCTTTTGTTTGTTTGTTTGTTTAGTATAGGGTTTTACGGCGCTCGCAACTGCATAAAGTCATATGAGCGCGCGGGACACACCTAATACTTTTTCGTTGGTAGGAAATTTTGAATTTTGCCCGCGTGGCGGCCGAAGCCTACTCTTATCGATTTTTGACCACCAAGGGATCTTTAGCGTGCGCAACTTGCACACGGGCCCTCCGAGATTTTTCGCCCTTGTCCGAGAGGGCTAGGTGTAGATCTTTCCTACCAGAAGATCAGGGGTGTGGCAGAAAGACAGCAGTTAGGAGGAGCCAAGGAGTAGCAGTAGAAAGGCTGCAGAAAGAGTCAGGAGCCCAGAGGAGGGGGCAAAGGAGGTGAGGGGGTGGGGGCAGAAAGTGGAAATGAAAGCAGACAACAGATCATTGTTAGAGATCAGGAAAGGATGTGAAAGGAGACAATTTTAGAGAAGAAAATTTTTTGGTCGCTACCCGGAATCGAACCCGGGACCTTTGAATGAGAGCCCAACACCTTAACCTCTAGGCCACGAAAGCCCCCTTTTGGCTTTTCTTTCCGTGCAATCTAAATGATTTTTATTAGTAAAGTTTGATTTTAAAGCAGGTATAATGTCCTATTTGTATTGCTCATAGGGGTACAATTTTCGTTTAGCAAAATTTAATGAAACTGCCGAACTATATGTTGAATATTATTACTTTATCATTTTTTGTGATTTATGACCTGTTTGCTTTGTTTTCAGGAATATGGTGTGATATCCAACAGTAGGCTCATGACTACCTGCCAAAATATAGGTAAGATACTGATTTTGTCTTGAGTCCCATTTTCATATGTAAATTGTTTCAAATGCTCTTTTTAACACTGTATACTTTTAGTTGTGCAATGTATGGATGCCCCATTGCCATCTGGGGTCTTAAAGCTGATCGTTGCATATTTTATGTTTTAGCATAAAAAACCTCTAAGTCAGGGGTTGCACACACTACGGCCACCATGCTAAATGTGACCCTTGTCAGAGTTTTATACTGTCCACTGAATCATACGGCAAATTTTTATAAAATGGAAGTCAATAGATTTTCCTGAAAATGATCACAGTTGTCAAAATACGCAAGCCAAGACTGGTTTTTGTGGTAAAATTTAAAGGAAAATTTTTCTAAATATGAAATGTTCTTATCATTTCCTACTGTAACTGAATACAGTTTATATTTTGTATTTTCTTTATAAAAATTTTCCTAGTACACTATGTCCAGTAATAAGGCATGTGGCCTTTTGCTGTTATGACCCAGTCGACATGCCCCCCCCCCCCCCCCCATCCAAAGTGTTTGCCCACCTTTTGTCTACACTAAGTATCCCGTATCCTGTTTGAAGATTTTTTTATTTCTATTCACAATTGGGAAATTTTGACTTAACACCTTTGGGACCAGCCTCACACTTGACTTTCAGTTTCCATAGGAATAGAGCTGCTGCCCAATTTCTGACCATTTGACACATGTGAATAATTCAGCCCCTAGTAAAGTTATATTCATGAAACTTCACCAAATGTCTAAAATATGTTTCTTTATGCCATAAAAGATTCTTATTGAAGAGATATTTTGTTTTGGATCATTTAGGTGTAATCAATTATGTAACAGTAAATTTGTCCAGACGTGGTTCCAAATGGAGACAAAAGATTAGGTCTAGATATACATACAGAGTAAATTGCTCCTCAATCAATGATAAGTGGCTCCAAATCTACGATCAATTTCTTCTCATTGTGAAGACTCCTGATCCAAATAATCAGGGTCTTTGTCCGAGTCATCTACCTCTTCATTGCTGTCTGCGTTCATACAAATTTCGTCAAGCTTCTCGAGTTCAGTAAAAGTACTTCTAAAAACTAATTTTGTTGCTTTCCACTTTCAAATTTGCTAGAAATCAGAAGCAAAATATCTCAATGGAATTAATTGGTGGGTTACCAATAACAAAAACATGGATATGTTTGGAGAAACTTCAACAGGCCTTTGTTTAAATCTAGGTCATTTCACTCAGGTGTATTATCTTCCATGGTCACAGGGAAGCAGTCAGGCTTCAGAAATATTCTCATCCTCTGTCTGAGAGGTGTTTATCATATCTTACTGTTGAGAAGTCAGTTGTGTTCACTCTGTCCTTTTTCTATTTTGTTTTCAGTGAAGAACAAGTTTGCTCATGCCTTCACAGGGGAATATCCCTACAGAATTCAGAACGTTTTAGAGTGTGAATTTTACTTGTTGGAAATGATGGTAAGTTTGTTTATGTGGAGCTAATGAACGTTTGGCAATACTCAGTTTGAACTAGTATTAGAAAGAAAATGAATGATAGGATGGGTCTGACCTTGATTTGAAAAAGTTTCTTATTGAGATCTTAAACCACACTCCTGAGTATAGTGGTGGTTCCCTCTACTGTATTGTAAACAAGGTTGTAGGAAGCTATCCTCAGTTGGTTGCAAACTTGGGGTTTTCCCTTAAACATACAGCAGTTATTGTTAGGTACAAAGGTTCCCTTGCGTTTGGGAAGTTTTAAAACTTTCTGGCTATTTGGTTTGGTTTGGTCCTGTCAGTGATGGGCTTTAAATTTGGAGGACCCGCCTCTTAAATAACATGACAATGTTGAAACAGGTGTTACAAGTTACACTCGGGCAATTTTATAGACATCTGTAATAGTGTTTGTTATGAACTTGTTTAAAAACTTTTGTCTTCTTGCCCAGGACTGTTGTCTTATTATGTACCACCCATACCGCCCATTGGTCAAGTTCTGTGCAGATCTCAACGCAGATGCAGACCTTCTACCCACAGCCTGGTATGTTTAACATCTTACTTCAGCTTTGCGTGAATCAGGCAATGTTGTTGCTCTTTTTGTACTTGTTTGGTAATGAGTTAGATTCCGAGGAGAAGGGGGCGCAGCTATGGACATCATGTACCGTCTGTGATGTGATGCTCTTAACCTTGAATAGACAAAATGAGGTTTATGTCTCTAAAACCTTAGTCAGCTGTTAAATGTTGTTTTTTTTAAATTTTGTTTTGAAAGTTTAATTATGTTTGCATGGCTGTGCCCTGAGCAGTTTTAGCTTTGAATATTATTATAACCTTTGTGGCACAGGTTGGCCTTTATCGTTTTATTTGTGGCTGTGTGAAACATAATTGTTTATTATTGGGGTTTTTTTTGTTTGTTTTTTTTCAGTTTTCCTCCAACTTAGGTCGTGCCCTTATACTGCAATAGCAAGCAACTTTCATATGTACACTTTTGAACTCTAAGACATGGCTTTGGTTTAATTAGCCCAAATGGTATTGGGATAGCGGCATGTTTCTCTTAACACCGCTGGATATATATGTTTTTCAGGAGTACTCCCTAAAGGACCAGCAATGACAATACTCACTTTGATAAATGGTTTCAGAAAAGCTTGTTGACTTTCTACATCTAATCCACATTCACCAAAACATTCACTGATCTTTATCTGTGTGTCAATGGGTTGTTCAGTTATTTTGGATGCACTGCTACCTTAATTGGTATTATGTTGGACTACAGAATGGATGTTGCTGGTTCCAATCCGCAACCAGTCATTCTGAACTGGGGTTGTTTTTTGAGAATTTTTAAGGTTCTCGACCCATCTGGATCAGTTGTATCGAAGATGGATGTCATATCAATTTCCGAGGTCCTGCTTCTCAAATAATTATACTTATACGATTTCGCATATTTGTAGTTGCTAGGACAGAGCAACCTGTGGGTGGTTGGCAGGTGCTCTTATGTGGTTTCTCTTTCTTTCCTGTCGAACGCCTATTGTCCTTATCTCTCCTTTTTTTTTCTTTCTCTTTCTCTCTAGTAACCCTTCTAATCGTGGGCTCTTATATAACCAAATTGCTTTGTGTTGCTAGAGCCATAAAACACGTACTAAAACGAATAAAAGCAACTTCTAACTTCCAAATGGTTTGTTCCAGGCGCATGGTCAATGACAGTCTCAGAACAGATGCTCCTTTACTCTACCCACCCTACCTCACAGCTCTGGGTGAGTTTTCGCTAACCTAGTTTTGTTTTCGATTTTTAAATTATATGTTTGCTTTTGTTCTCACTGTAAAAATGAAGAGATAAGACTTTTTATCCATCCTTAGGAACACTTTTATTGCACAGTAGCATATCGTCCTCCAGCTTCTGATATGAACCAAGCCCAAAATGTTAATTTTTTTTAGTGCAGTGTTTTAGATTATCAGTTGCACTTTGTATTGAAGGTTCAGCTGTGAAGAGAATGAAACGTTTTTTTGCTCTCTCCTGAAATGTTGCTTTCATGGCTTAGTACATTTTTCACAGCTTATCGGCGATATTATATTCATTCTTTCATATTTTTGAATTTGTTCAAGATGGCCACTCTTTGTAGAGGAGAAAAGTGGTTGTCTTAGACAGGTGAACGGCTTAGACAGTGTCATTGTGGTACAGAAAAAACGCAAAGGATTGTAAGTGTGAAGTGACTGTTATTGCAAGCGATTGTCTTGGACACTTACTCGATAGAGCAGGTTTGACTGAATTTGTGTTAAATTTTCCAGCTTTTAGGCACCAACGTTTTATTGGTTTTATTGATACATTTATTTAACAAACATGCTTTTTTTGTTCATCTTTATTTCAGATAGTTGGATGGGGGGAAGGGGGGTTGGGGTTGTGGCAATGATTACAGTACCAAAGTAAAAGTGTAAATTACTGGTTTGAAAAAAAAAAATCACAGACATGGGATGCATAAACATATAGTTCACAGAAAAAAATTAAATGAAAGAGGGTAGAAGATGTCCAAAACCAGAGAGATGTAACTGGACATTTCATGTTTTTGACAAAAACATGATTACGACTCGTAACTCTTGACGCTTTTTGGGGGCTCAGTCATGTATGCAGCGATACCGTTTTTAAAACAACGACTTTTGATTTAGATAAAAGTCCTGCATCTGACACAATAAGAATATAGACAAGACTGTCATAATAAACCAACAGTCTGTGAAGGACATGCAACATTGTCACCTCAGTGGCCAGTATTGTTCTCTTGGTTTTGTTCATGTTGCCTGTTTGTGTGTTTGTGTGTATGTATGTGTGTGTATTTGTGTGTGCAGTGGAGAAGTGTAGGTGGCAACGGAGTCAGTCATTCGTCTATTACAGCTAACTGCAACCCCAAGAATAGCGCCACTTGCTAGGGTCAGTGGCTCCTTTGAGTAATATTTGAAGTAGTACACTTTCCCTCTAGTGATCTCTCCAAATAACTGTCGTCTGCCAAGTGGAATGTCATGTTCAGATGAGGATTCTCAAGGCCGTTGTAAGGTTTCAGTTTCACACTCAGCTTGGGGTATATGTGCCATGGCTCTCCATGTCAGTCTGTCCTGCACCATTGTCGTACACTCAGCCTGCCTTCTACCTCCTGTCCCATATTTTGTATCATCTTGTGTGGTCTTACATACTTTATACTTTTGTTATTTGGGTGATTGGCAGGTGCTCTGGTGTGGTTTGCTCCTTCTTGCCTTTCAAAAATATGTCATCTTTATCTTTCCTCCTTCTTTTCTTGGTATGTTACTCTCTTGTAATACTTTACTTCAATCTTCGACACTTATCTATGACCTGTTTGTGTTGCAAGAGCTGTAAAACTCTTGGTAAAACTAAACTAAAAACTTTTATTCTCCAGCTTGTATCCACTTAGCCAGTATAGTCAAGCAGAAGGACATCAAGGGCTGGTGTGCTGAGCTGTCTGTGGACAATGATAAGGTAATGATGACTTGAGTCTCATTGGAAAATATTGTTTAACCTGACTCTCGGTGTGGGTGCTTTTGCAGGTACTTCAGAGTGGTTTGTTCTTTCTTTCCTATCAAACATCTATAGTCCTTATCTATAAAGTACCACTGCTTATCTTCAGAACTAAAATTACGTTTTTGTGTTGCTAGTGCCATAAAAGTTATTAAAACTAAACCAAACTGTCTTTGGTCAGGTGATGGAAATCACACGTATGCTGGTGAACCTCTACGACATGTGGAAGACGTATGATGAGAAGAAGGAGGTCCAAGTGGTGCTGGCCAAGATGCCCAAGCCCAGTCCATCCAGGTAACCGACGAGTTCCTTTTTGAGTTTATGTGATTGTAACTGATTGTGAATGTTTCATTCCAAATTTGATATATCATCGACGGGTCGTTGAAATGTCCTAGGCCAAGAAGGCAACATTTTTCAGGAGAGTAAAAACTGTGCCATTCTTTAAACAGGTATACTTAAATTTTTTAATCTTTTCTGGCTGTTTTCAATGTTTTTAGAATTTGAATTTCAACTAAATATTTCTTGAGCATTTGTGCAATCGATATCACAGTTAAAGAAACTGTTATTTATTTTTTTTTTTTTATCTTGGGCTTACTACGTCTGAACAGCTTGCGGACAATGTATAATTCAAATCTTTGGAAGGTGGATTGCTTTGACCATTCCTGCCAGGACCAAACTTAAGCTTTGAGAAATGTATCCTGAAGAAAGACTGGGGTACTGGACAAAATAAGACATCCCCAATTGAAAAACAAACTCTCATCTTTTGAGTACAGATGCAGAGAGCCAAAATCATTACACAAAAGAGCACAATTCCCAGGGTTTTTTACTTCTCTGTTTGTATTTTTTTCTTTGTCCAGGCCCCCATCGGAGACTCCCAGCTTGCAGGATGCTAACGCTCAGCAGCAACAACAGCAACAGAACCAGCAGCAGGCACAGATGCAAGCATGATGACATACTCACACAGTTTATTTGAACACTTTTTTTTCTCCATTTTCTATAGTGCTGGAAGTGGAAAGGGCAGGGGGAAGGAGAATTAGCAGCCAATTTTAACTGCTGGTTATTGCAAGCGGACCTGGTTTTCCCCGGGCTTAAAGTTCTTTGAATGAGGAGTCCCTGGCCGAGTCAGTACAAAGATGCAGGATACGTTTTAAAAAATATGACCAACGCACCTAAGAAAAGACCAATATATGAACCAATCCATGTTCGTTTGGGTATTGGTGCAGGCAGAGACGAAGCTACCTAGCTGTGACATCAGTTCCAAGGAGTGACTTCCTGGTCGTGTTACTTTTTATAAAAGTATCCATATTCCTCCACAATCCCTGAAGTTCACTTTTTGGGGAGGTTTCATGTACATATATGTTCTGTCACGTAAATGGGATTTCAGAAAAGCTGTTGTTTTTACTTAAAATTGATGATGAAATGTGACTTTTTCAAAGCAATTTTGTTATTTTCTCTTCAAGTGGTTGATGTGCTCCACTGATAGATCCTACTTTTCTTTCCCTCTGTTTTTTCTGTCTGTCTGTCTGTCTGTCTGTCTGTCTGTCTGTCTGTCTGTCTGTCTGTCCTGCTATTTCCCTACAACACAACTCCTGTTGTGTGATTTTCTATGCTTTTCACAAAGTGGATAGTTGGTGGGTGCTCTGGTTTGGTTTGCTTCTTCTTTCTTATCAAACTTCTATCGTCCTTATCTCCTCTCCTTCTTTTTTGTGTTTGTTGTTACTCTCTTGTAACACCTCTTATCTTCGG